CTCAGAGATCATCAGGAAGGCTCATACAGTCTGTCCCACCAGTTTTAAATTAAAGCATGAGAATCACTTCACAATGCTACTTTGTGCAACTTTGCATACGCTATTTTCTTCTTCACGAGATCTTGTTCACCCTTAGTGTCCCCTGTGGAGCAGTAGGGACACGTGTGCTTATTTTTATGAAATAACAGAACAACTAACTGAAGAACAGGGAAAACACAAGAGGTGCAGACTGCTGCACCACACAGCTAAATCAACTGTAAAGCCAAAGCATTCCTCCCATTCCAAACCCATCCTATTTCCAAGCTCTGCCATGCTTCATTTTCTCACTCTATATCTCTATCCAAACATCAGTCCTCCTAAATGAAAAGAAACAGAGGAAGACTTTTGCATAATTTTTGTCATTTTAAAATATGTTGTGCAGTTTTTAGTGATTGCTAGAAAAATCATAGTTATCACAAAGAAAAATCAGTAAAGACTTTTTAAAAAGTTGTTTTAAAGCTAGCAATCTGTTAAAAAGACCTAAAAGAATGTTTTCGAAACAGTTGGCACCATCTGTTTAACAAAAAAAAGGAAAAAAATGACTGTAGTTAGCATAAGCATTAACTCAGCAGACCAGCAAATAAGTTAAAAAACCCATCAATTTATATTTCAGTAAAATATGAAATATCTGGATTTTGCCAGAGTGAAATAGACTGTGTCATGGTAATGTGTAACTACATTTAGTAACATTCTTTAGTGCATATTTCATTATTTCTCAACATCTCATAGGTACTCAAAAAATACTTAGCCACAAACCACATTTAATTCCCAAAACTCTGTGGTGAAAGCCAAGTAAACACATTACAAACTGGGCATCTGCTTACCCAAGACCAACACGTGGCCTTTATAATTTTGCCAGTTCTGTTACTAACATATCCAAACAGATGCCAAAGGAAGTCATCCAAAGACTTTTCAGGCAACGGGAATGAACTGGCTTTATTTGGAAGCAAAGCATTAAAATCACCTCATGGATGACACAAACATAAAAACACGGTGCTAAGCTTTACAATGCATAGGAGAGGTAAAAGGAAATGTTAAGGCAATAATACGGATGCTCAGAACTAGAAATAGCAACCTCTTACACGCATTGTCAGCTGTTAGCAGCTCCTCTTGCCTGAGTGCATAATATACACTTTCAGTGAAAAAACAACTGGGTGCCACCAGACCCTCTTCTCTCAGCAACCTAAATATTGAGTTCGCTGGCGACCAATGCATCCTGTAAAGGCTATTTGATCTATCAGATGATTTTGGTTTTGTTATTATAACAACCAAAACTCAACCATTGACCAAGCCAGATGGCTGTCCCAAACACGTGCTCACACTGTATTCTGTGATGTCAGGCAAGATTCAGTAAGGGTAACGAAAACCTAGAATATCTGGGAAAAGAGAAAAACCTGGATAATATAGTTAGTATAGATGTGTTTGAGGAATATGGTCCAGACACATCCACATTGATCTGCGATCCCGCAAGGTCCAAAATCATAACATTGGCATTGCACTGAAATAAGCCTCGTGTAACTCACCATGCTGAAGATTGCAGTTCAGCATATTTCACACACAACCAGTTTATGTCCATCAGGTCCAGCACTAAAACTGAGGTAATATGCCTAAGCGGACCTGTGGTGACACCATCCTGCTCAGGATGCCAAATCCAGGAAAACCTTCTTTGTTCAAGCTCAGTGCTGCAGGTATGTTTCTGGACCCCAGCTAGTCCTGAAAACAGCTTACATGCCACTGCACCTAAGCTAGTCAACCATACTAACTAATAAATTAGCTAATAAGGCTTGCTAGAACTAACTACACATCTATGGCCTGACTTGCCCACTAAACTAACTAGATAAAGCTGTCAGGGGATGGTGGGGTGGTGGTGGTGGAGGTCACTAGACTGTGAGCAACATTTTATTTTAAGCTTTCAGATTTCATGCTTGATCAGATTAGCCATGGCTAATAGTTTCTGCAGCCTTTTGTTCCTAGTCCTAAGAATATCAACAAAGTGCTCCTAATATAGTGTAACTATAGGGAGATCATATATTGCACCAATATAGTAAACATTCCGCAAATTCAATAAATTATACCAGCAAGTAGATACTGGAAGTCTGTATTAATACACTCAGGACTGCGAGGGATGCGATCACTTGGATGTAACTATGAAGACAGAAAACCATGACGTAAAACTGCCCCAGTGTAAAACTCGGCTGACCCATGGCATCAACTACCGATGTTGTCTGCTCCAAACCTCTAACTGAATGCTTATCAAAGCAAACAAACAAAAAATATTGAACTTTGTTATAAGTCCAGACACTGCCCACTGGTCTGACCTTACAGACATGAAGGAGTGATGAAAAAGGCTATCCGTCAAGAGGACACTAAAGTCTGTCTGGAGGTGATGGCTGATTTTCAGAAAGAGCAGGGTTCAATTTTACTGCCAGTGGGGCACATTCAAGTAGGTGCGAGAAGCCTTGGAGGTCAGGCTTTATTAATGTGTGAACAAATATTAGCCTTCACATCATCCCCACTGCCTTCCAACAATGCATTTTTCTTGTCTGCCTTTGAGATTGCTAGCACACAAAAAACAACTCATTCCCTCCTCTATAATTTAATTTGTCTTTTTTTTAGGGGGACACACATTTTTTCCATTTGAAAGAATCGTATTCAAAATGTCAGAGAATTTACAGACTAGCAATGCAACATGGAAGAGAAGATATCTAGAAAAAGGAAGGGAGAAAACATTTGAATTCATGAGTATTTGACAGCTGAGTAAGTCATGTCACTGAATTTTGTACCAAGCATAATTTCAAATATCTCTTTTCATTTCACTCTATTTTTTAAAGAAATGCCTGATAATGCATCAAAACAGCTTAAAATAAAAAAGTAAAAAAAAAAAAAGACAATTTTAGTTCTAAAGGAACTTCTAATGAAAAACAGCAGTGGAGACATTTTGTTGTGGTACTTCTCTCAATGATTGCATAACAACTTTGGAAAAAATGTACTCTTTATATAGAAAATACACCAAAAAGCTGTGAAAAAAATTATAATACACATTCAAACTTTACCCTTTGACTCCTGGTAATAACATTCTGTCTTCTATGCAGATGCTGCCTATATGGGATCACAGTAAGTCAAGTACATTTGACCTACCGAGCTTAACGTGACTGTAAGTGAATCTCAAAGACAGGAATGCAGGATGTATGATGCTGCAGCCCTGATTGATAACTAAGAAGTCAGTTATAAATAAATCTGGAACAGTTGGGATTGAGTGTTGTTTAGCACTTTCAGACAGACATTCAGGGCAACTGGCAGGGGCTTTGAAAGCTGTTTCCTACATTAGAATCATGACAAAAATAGAAGTGAGGCTGCATTCCCTTGTCTTCTGCTAAAATAGATCTTACTCAAAAACATTTTTACAAGTTTGGCGAGGCATAACTAGTCCACTGTCAGATACAGAACAAAATCATAATTGAAGTCCCATGTTGATCTACCATGAATACTTACTGAATTAATAAGAACACACACACACAAAAAAAGTGGAGAGTATTAGGAGATATTAGGGACAAGGAGAAGCTGGTTTTACTACTTTTTTTTTTTTTTAACTTGTAAGTGACGGTACAATCAGAATTCACTAGCCAGGAAGACCCTAAAGACCTTTAAATATAAAATAAAAAGGGAAAATCATATATTTTACCAACTGTCCTTAGGAATATATTAGATTTTGGGAGGTTTGGGGTGTTTTGTTGCTGGTTTTGGGTTTTTTTGTTTGTTTAGGTTATTTTTAAATTCAAGAACAGATGTTGCATAATAACTAGTGACAGCAAGGCTGAGTTGTGAGAATGGAATGGGAAAGAGGGAGCACGTATGGGTTTTTGTTCTGTTTTTAAGTGCCCCAAATACTGTTTACAGGGCAAGCATTTGTCACAGAGTTATCTCACCTCCAGCACTTAAGCTTCCAGATAAATTAAATTGGCTTTTATTTGTGTGTTTTTTACAGTCAAAATATATCTATCAAAATATTGTAGGATTAGCTAGTTCACTGACTGAACAGCCCATTGTTCTGCCAAAATAATCAGTGGCCTTAATGAGCAATTAAGAGCTTTCAGGGTCAGTGAGAGCAGAAAATCTTAACATATAGGTCAGAAATTCTGCGTATAACTTCATGCTACTGTTTCAGATCATGAGTGAACTCCCAAACTATATGCAAGAGGCACGTGTGACTGAGAATAGAATGTATATAGCATAATACAAACTCATAGGAGAGACAAGGATACAATAAGAGCAATGTGATTTAGCCAAGTAACTTTCCCAAACAGGTTTCCCGTAAACTGTTCTTTCTCAACCAAAACAGGTCTGCACAGTGTTTTGCTGACAGATATGAAATTGCCCAACCTGCACACACTCTAAACCACCCTGAACCGAATCAGCTCCAACCTAGAAGCTCTTGGCGCGTGATGCCAGCCTGCCCTCTCTTAGCAGAGCTCGTTGCTGCGGG